GAAGAATGCAACCCCAGCCATCGCAGATGCAGATCCGCCAGCTGCAGGACATTCTGCTGCAACTGAACTGCACTTGCGCTTTGCCCCGTGCAGGAGGTGCTCCTGCTCCTGCTCCTGCTCCTCCCGCCGCCCCAAAGCCAAAGGCAAAGGCCAAAAGCAAGGGCTCTGTCCGGCACAAGACGGACAAGCAGGGAAACCCCATCGCGGTGTGGGACCTGAAAAAGTGCAGGTCGTCGCAACTTCAGGAGCCTTTCCCCGTGGTGGACAGGCAGGAGACCCGGAAGGCCATGGAGAAGGAGATCATCTCCAAGGACTGCCTGGGCCATCAGCGCTTAAAGCCGCAGTGTCTTCGTGCGCAGGCTGGCGCGTTTGCCAAAATCACTGTGCAGCTGGCGGACTACTCGGCCGCCAAAGATGCTCTCAGCGAACTTCAGTCTGCAAAGACTGAGTTGGAACAGGCATGGAAGGCCAGCTTAGCCTCGCTCGTGAAACCTTGCATTTCACAGAATCTGCCAGGTGCTGAAGGGCCTTGCGAGCGATGCCGCAGAGGACACGTGGGCTGAGCATGTGAAGGCCAGCCAGTTCTTGAGCCCCTCAAAATATGTATATACATATAAAATTGGAAAGTGTGTGTGTGTGTGGTGCGTGTGTGTTACGCAGTGCTAGCAGGGCACGGTTTTAAAAATGATGCGCTCGCTCAGGGAGTTGGGTGGGCCTACTTGAAGTACACCACGAAGGAGGACTGGTACACAATTCCCAGTTTAGCATTGATACTGTTGACCGCCAGGAGTTTGCAAATGGCTGCGTGAAAGCCGTGACATCCAAGCCTGCGCAATAGCTAGCTGAAATCCGCTAGGTAGAGATATCAGCTTGTGGGGTTGGGGTTGATCAAGGAGAACCTTGATCAGGATTTGCTGGGGTGTAGTCGCTGCGCTGTGTGAGAAAGCTCTAGCGGGCGCGTTGCTGATCGGCACACCATGCATTTCATGCGCGTGTAGGGCAACATCAAGCATATGTCTCGCACGCAGGTGCCTCTAGCTCGGCTTCATCATCTACACTGCCTTGCTCCCAGCTGTGCGTTCGGATTTGTTTCATGTTTGTTGTTTGAGGCCTACGCTCAAGTTGAAGAAGGGGACGAATTCGCTTGTCAAACAGATCCAGGCAAGTCGTGGGCCTCAAAAAGCAGCTGAAGATAAGGATGAGAAGAAACAAAACTGGGAATCGGTTTCAAACCTGGAGCACCTCGCGTCCACACCGATGGGGAAGGCCGCTGCACTAAGCCTGCAACAAAAAAATGCGAGTATACATCAAATCCAAGTTTTTTGCAAAGCTGCGGTTGCCGAAGGGTCCAAGTTTCATCAGACAAATGTGCTATCCAAAGTTCATACAGAACGTCGATTTCACGGCCGCCTTCGGCGGGATCTTCCAGCACTTTCTGTTCGCAAACTGCACCTTAAGTTTCGCGACAAGATTGTGGAAAGATCTGTTGGCCTTGGCCTTATGTCTGTGAGTTGTGTGTTCGTCCTCCGTTTTATTTTCCGTGGGTGTGCGTAAGGCTTTGTTCTACCTTCAAGCTACCTCGCTTGGCTGGGCAAACGCCCTCATGTGCTCCGTGGACTTTTCTTTGGTGCAACCAGTACGGAGGAACGGCGATTGTTCCTTACTTTCAATTAGAAATTGTATGTTTGCGCGGTAGTTTGACTCCACAGTCTGCAGGTTCAACGTTCGCCTCAACGAGTCGGACCTGTACGCTAACCGGGAAAAGCTGGGACAGCCTGGCCTGTGCCTCGTTTGTTTGTGTGAGAACTTTCGCGAGAGCCAGGCCCCAAAGATATCCCTGTACGTCTTCATGGCGACGAGGGCCCTTACTTCAAGAAGCGGAATCTGCTGGTCATCAATTTGAGCACTCCCTTCTCCCACAGCGGTGTTTCTGGGCTACATGTGTGTGTGTGTGTGCGCGTGTGCGTTTGTGTGTTTGGCTGCAACTTGCAAGTCTGAATTGCGCAAGCCTAGGACACATTGCTCACGCGTTTGCCGATCTGTTCCTACCTTAGCGAGTGCTAGGGGTTGAAAGTTGAAACACGAGGTGCTGCACGATGCGCGCTTAAGGTGTTATCCCTGGGCAGTACCTGGTGACCCGCCAGCTCCAAAAGAAGTTCCACATTAGATCAACAATTGATGAGGTTCTTGAGGTGCTGGTCCGAGATTTGGAATCCCTGTTGCTTGGCAACCTGAAACAGTTAGTTGTTTGATTTATGTTTGTGTAGCTTGTACCTATGATATGCCTAGGACTGTCGAAATAGATGGTGAACAAGTTCGGTGCCGCTACTATGCCATTGGTGGAGATTTAAAATGGTTCCAGCAAGTGTTCCATTAGTGCAAACCTCAGCATTTTTGTCTGCATCAAACATGGAGTGAATTTTGATTTGCTGCACCGAGTTTTCGGCACTGGAAGGGCAATGGCGCGGCCAACGGTAACAGGAGCTGAGCACTATTTGTCCGGGTTGAATTTTCGTGTTTGATGCTGAAAGCTACTGCGTTGCAGGATGTGCCATATCTGCAAGTTCCTCGATTGAGTTAGCTGATGCGCAGGGCTTTGCAAGCTTGCTGACTCAGGCTGGCAACTGTGGGAGACCCTCTGGATAGCTGCTACTACTGCGCGCCAGGCTCAAACCATTACCTGAATGTGTTTGACGCATGGGTGGATTCCTCTGAAACATATGACGAAACTTCGGCATAGATGTGAAGAGCCATTTGCAAAATTCATGCTCAAGGTTTCTTGAAATATTGGCTGCTGCATCGATCTTAGGAGTTTCGGCGGCTACTCACTTGCACACGGCCATTTGTGACTCCACTTCTGGACCTCCAAGACTTCACAAATGCAACGATCTTTGATGATGTTCTACATGTTGCTCACCGTGGGTTTGTTCCTGACTTGCTGGCCTCCGGCATCCTTGATATCTTCGGCACCTCCGGGACCCACGCTGCTTTTGAGCTGGCAACTAAATGGAGCAAAGCTGGTGCCGGCCGATCCCGCGAACTGTCTCTAGATGAGATCAATATTGGGTATGAGAACAACTACCCTACGTTGTACGCGAAAGGTGCTGATTGCAAACAATTGGTGTTCTGGTTCGTGGCTTGGACTTTAAGGAGGCTCTTGTGTATCCTAGCTGTTTTGTGCTTGCGTCAGCCCAGGATGAAATGGCCACATTGAATGCTCGAACTGCAACGGGTGACGTTGAACATGCAAAGGTGCTTGCTATGTCTCTCAGTTGCATAATTTTTTTCCAGACGTACTTCAGGTAACATTTCGCGCTGAGGACTATGCGGGCACTACGCGTGGGATTTGAGATCATGGAAAAACCTGGCCTTTTCTTGAGCGCTGAAGATATCGAGGCTGGTATTCGAGCAGCGTTCCGCTTTGTCTTGGGGTACAACTTCTTGGCCTACTCGGCGAACGTTCAGGGGCTGCGACGGTACAAACTCAGACCAAAGCAACTCAACTAATTTTTCCCCAAGCCATTCGCTGTCAACTTCCTATATCGCCCTAGGTTGCATTTCTATCTACATATTTGGCTGCGTCTTCGCTCGTGTGCCCTGACGCCCAGAATCAATAATTGTTACGGTGATGAGGACTTTGTGAGACGCATGTGCAATATTGCGCCTGGTCAAAATTAGAGGGGGCAAGCTGTATACATGCCTATGCCATATGCCGCGCTACAGGCGAGTGGGTGCCATCATGGAGGCGTTTTAGTGAATGTGCTTCGTCGCTACTTGTGTACAGCAACGGTTCACTGGCTGCACAAATTCCCGAAAGCCGGCTGAAAAAGGGCGGCGGTTTCCGGGGGCGCTCTTAAGATAGCAAGATTTTTTTGCCTGATCGAGCAACTCTACGTTTGATAAATCACATATCAAACGTAGAGTTTTATATTGCAAGATGCGTTTGCCCGTGATATTGGCGAAACCCATGTTTTTTAAGGGGTCCGTTTTCCTCCTCAATCCACCCTACTTCTTGACATTGTTACTTTCCGGGGCCAAAGTTTGACGATGTATGCTTTTTTGCCAATGTCGAGAAAAAAAGTTGCCAACTGATTCTCCAGGTGGGTGTGGGTGTGGGTGTGGGGGCGTGTGCGTGTGCGCGTGTGCGGGTGTGTGTGCGTGTGCGCATGTGCGCGTGTGCGTGTGTGCGTGTGTGCATGTGTGTGTGTGTGTACGTGTGTGTGTGTGTGTGTGTACGTGTGTGTGTGTGTGGGTGCGTGCGTGCGTGCGTGCGTGCGTGGGTGGGTGGGTGGGTGGGTGGGTGGGTGGGTGTGTGTGTGTGTGTGTGCGGGTGCGGGTGCGGGTGCGGGTGTGCGTGCGTGCGTGCGTGCGGGTGTCTCTCTGTGTGCTCTGTGTGTCTCTGTGTGTGTCTCTGTGTGTAGGTCTCTGTGTGTGTGTCTCTGTGTGTAGGTCTCTGTGTGTGTGTCTCTGTGTGTCTCTATGTGTCCCTGTCTGTGTGTCTGTGTGTGTGTGTGGGTGGGGTGGGGTGGGTGGGTGGGTTGGGGTGGGTTGGGTTGGGTTGGGTTGGGTTGGGTTGGGTTGGGTTGGGGTGGGGTGGGGTGTGGGGTGGGTGGGTGGGTGGGTGGCTGGGTAGGTGGGTGGGTGGCTGGGTGGGTGGTGGGTGGGTGTGTGTGTGTGTGTGTGTGCAGGTTTGAGTCGAGTACCAAATGCAGTCATGGAGCATGCTCGCGATATTGGCCATAGAACGATACGCTGAAACAATATTCCATGAGGAAGCTCCAAAAGCCTGGCCCAAATAGGAATTTATCAACAGTTCACGGCAATGAAAAACGAGCGGGTACAACTACAAGAGGACCATGTTTTGGCCTTTCCTGGCTTCATCACACCCAGCACTGACAAAAAGCCAGAGCGTTAAACATCACAGGATCCGGCCCTCAATAATTACTTGGGGCATGTCTCGCCATCAACACCCTGCGTGTGCATGCGTCCGCGGCAAGCGCCTCGCGGTCCCGATTCATGGCTGCGTAGTGCAGCGCCCCGTTGCCCTTGGCGTCCACACTCTCCAGCTCAGCCTCAGTGAAAGCACCACTTTCATGAAAAGCATGGGATGACATGTGTGTAATGTTGAGACGGGACGCCTTGGCGAACATCATGCGGTTCATGTCTAGGGTCTCCCCAGTCAAAACTCTCATGTCGCATAGCCTCCTACAGGCGCCAACTGCAGCAATTGTACCCTCTCGCCTTCTAAGATGCAAACACTGGTAGCCACGGGGTTGTAACTCTTCTCACCAGGATTTCTCCAGTGGTGGGAGGGATTTTGCTATTAATCGAGGTGCCCCGTTTTTGTTGCGATTCCTTTATTTAATCCAGGCGAAGGTCTTGTCAGCATGGCGCGATACTGCGTCTACTCAAAAAAACTCTGAGAAACGAAAGTTCGACCTTATCCACGCCTTTCAAGTCTTCCCCAAAGGCGTCTAAAGTTCCAAAACACCCGTACGAACACTTCCAGCGAACCTTTTGCCAGCGCTTCAAAACGGAGACGGCTGTGCGCCTTGGCTTCCAGCAAGATCTGAATGGAGCTGCGGTGGATCACGGCGAGGCTCAGCGCGTTTCGCTGCTCCACGTCACATTGGCGCAGCACCTTCCGGGCACTGCCGAAGGAGGACCTAGGCCGAGGCCCGAGCTCTTGCGCAAGCCCATGCATAGAGAAAAACCCTTTGGTTTCCCTGTGAATCTCACGCAAGACAGGGAACCCTCAAAAACGACAAACCCCCCGCAGTCCAAGGTGTAGTTATCTCATATAATAGCAAAATGTGAATTTACTTGCTAAACGTGTAGCCGGCTTTATAGGAATCAATCAGATCAACATAGATGAGACATGGTATGCCCATCTGGTTGCTGGACCAACCAGCCATCTATTGCGGCATAGTGGGGTCGATAGCTGAAGAATGACCATAACCAAAGCTCTCTCGAGTTGCGAATCTTGTGTGGGATGGGCCTTTTGGATATGCCGTGTTCTATTCCAGCTTGGGAGGGAAAGCCAAAGAGATGACGTCTCATGATTCTGGGGAGCTTTGGACCCCGCCTTGCGACCCATAACAAGCTAAGCCGGGCAATGCACAAGCGCAGATTGGAACGAGTACCAAAAATGGACTATTCCGGCCAAGCAATCGCGCGACCGGTGCCTGTTACGCTACACTATGCTTTAACGAAAAAAGTAGACCCTCTTGTTTCTTATTTGCTAGACACAGCGTAGCGTAACACGGGGCCATGCCTGCAGCACTGCAGCTGCGCAGACTTTTAAACTCACCTCCCAAGCCATCGCCCGCTCTCGCCCAGCGCCCGGGCCATTTGGTCCGGGGCACTTCACGAGCTTGGCCCGTATCTCTGCGGCATGCTCCAGCAGCGCCCTCGAGTGCTCGCCGCGCTTCTCCCGGATGTCCTCAAGCAAATGCCCGGCTGATTGAAACAAACGGGGGATCAGTCGGGTATGTGTCAAAATAGGAAAAATGGAGTGACATTACTTTTGGTTTCCCTTGAGCCAAAGTGGAATGGACAACTAAACAAACGGACCCAGTTGGCAGACTGAAAACGTTTGCTTGGTTGATTGAAATAATCCATGTCGGCCCATGACAACGATCGATACGTGTATCAATTTCAGAATCAATCAAGCAGCTCCAGCCGGGACCCACAACTAATCGCCAAACAAAGGATAACCAACTCGGCCAATAGTGGCCAATTGATCATCACCTCCGCCCCACGACCCTTCCGCCAACATGGGAATTAAAAAAGGCCATTCCCATGAGGGAACATCGGCCATACTCATGGTGGGCAGGTCGGCATGAACAGCGCCTGGCGCCTGTCCTTCACTACCTTCTTCCGGCTCCCGACTCCGACGAGTGTCTTTGGCGCCGGGTCTGCCGCCTGACTGCGGTTTTCGCTGGCAAAGAAGTCTCACATAATCCCGGAACCACTATCGCTCGAGTGTCGTCTGTGGGCAATCTCAACCTTTATATTGGCTGAAAAGCAGCATGATATTGGGGGCCCCTATCAAAGGTACCGTTAGCAGGAAGCCATCCCGACATGTCCCACATGTTGCTTTCTTCTGACGCGACTCAGTATTTTTCCTGCAAGGAACAGTGGCTCAGCAGGAAAGCAAGCCACCCAATTGCAGCGAACCTCTTGTGCAAGGTTCAAGCCGCTCGGCTGCATTGAGCACCCACGGGTGAGAATGCCCATGTGCGCCGATGAACGCCAGTGGGCCCAAAGTGATTAACATATTGTCAAATTCCTTCAAATGACCCTTCGCCACAGCGAATGCATATCCCGCAAAGCGTTAACGTTAACGTTAGTTTTCGTGGGCAACCTTGCTGCGTTGAAGTTGTGGGCAGCTTACGTGCACGAGTACATATATATATATATACATATACACAAATATATATATATATATATGTTTATGTGTATGGTGAAAGAGGGAGAGAGAAGTATCTTTCGCCACACGAACCACACAACACTGTGTTCGTTTTAGATGCACGCCTTTGCGGAGAAACGGCAACGCACACTAAGCACAATCTTGGGAATTAGCCTGCCCGCCTGCGGGAGAACCAGTCCGGACTCAAAATTCGCAGAACCGATTCTCGCAGTCTCAAGCAAGCTGCCCAGTGGCCAAACAGCCAAACCGGCTCTTACAACTATCCACCTTGTGCCCTTGAGTAACTCCACTCCCAACTTACAGGTTTGGCAAATCCAGAGGGATGAGGAAGCTCGCTGCGGTGAGGGGCACGTTTGCTTTCAGAAGGATGCCACCGTACACGACACAGCCGCAGCTTCAAATCGGACAGATGCAAGGGGCAAACACAGGAAGCACACACACACACATGCCCTGACCCAACAAAAGCAAACAAGAACAAACTCACCTGCGCAGCAACAGCCGGACACACTCGAGGCGGGTTCCAAGCTGGTGCGCTCCAAAAGCCTGGCCTTGGGCTTCACGCTGGCCCTGGATTTCGCCGACACCTTTTCCTTGTCCTCCTTCTCGACCTTCAGCTTTTGAGCCTTGCCCTTCTTCACCTCCGATGCGCCTCCAAGGGGCAAGGGGCCCCACGCCCGGAACGTGGAACTTGCACAGGGGCAACATAAGGGACAACACAATGTGTATGTAAGCTAACCAAACGGCACCACACAAGCAAGCGATAACTCTTTTATCCAAGCAATGTGTTGGTGCCAGGGACTCATCTTCCCCTGTCAGATGTCTACGGCTGGGTGGGCCCCATGGGCCACCCACCACAAACTCTCAAAAACTGAAGAACGGGTGTGCAGACTGATAGCGCCCGCCCCTGGGCCGGGGCCAGGGGCACCCAGGCCACAGGGGGGTCTGCCACCAGGGGAAGTGAGTCACCCACCGGCTCCGGTCACGGGAGCATGGGTGGGCCCACGCTAAGATCAAATGCATCTCCATTCAGGAGACGCGGGAGAAAAATGAACTCCTCGCAGAGTTCCTGTTTAGGAACTCTGTGCAAAGGGTCGAACCCCGAGAAATCTGGGTGCGTCAGCTCATCGGCCCACTGGTTGAATTCCCGGGGCACGTGGTTGGCCGCCAGCGAGCAGCCATGGGTGTGGAGCAGGAAGACCAGCTCCATCAGGATAGCCGCGGTGTAGGGCTTCTTGGATCCAAGGTTGAGCATCGCCATGACGTTGCCCTGATTGTCACTGCCCACCGGGAGTCGGACCCGGGAGGACAGAGGGCCTTGGTGCGTGAGGATCATGTTACAGAGGAAGAGCGTGCCCAGCATTTCCAGAGCCGCAATCCTCCGCTTGGGATCCCCATTCTTGAATGCCCACGGGTACTCCTCCACGTGGATCTGCTCGTGGAACCAGTACACCTCCTTCTTCTCCGGCTCCACTTTGTTGGAGCACCAGCCTCCCACAAATGCCAGTCCTTCATCCGAGGCGCTAGCATCGCTGCAACCCCACCAAGAGGACTTCGGCAAGTAAGGGGAGTACTGGACGAAGGGCGTGTTGAAGAGGAACCGCAGCATGAACGCCAGCATCCTGACCACCTTAGGGGGTTTCCCCACCGTGGTGGTGGCCATTTTCCAGGCCCACAGTGGCTGAAGCATCGACTTCGCCAGCGGACATGCAGCAGTTGCCCATTGGATGCGGCCCAGGGCCTTCTCGATGTCCATTGCCTGCCCTTCCACCATGATCTGCAAGACCTCCATCACCAGGATGTGTTTGTTGGCGGCCATGAGAACCTGCGGGATGTTCGGGTGGACCACGAAGCCCAGCCACGTGTTGACCTCCGCCAAATGTGTCTTCTTCCAGCTAAGCGGGGTGCCCAAGGCCAGGAGTGTTGCCAACAGCGCCACCGCCAAGTTCACTGCCCCCTTGCTGCGGAAGTCATCCACAAAGACGAAGTTCCAATCCACTTGAGGGAAAAGTGCGTAGAGGACCCTGAGTAGAAGGGCTGCCAGGCGTCCCCAGTAGGATTGGGCACTGGCCATGCCGTATGTGCCTACCTTGTTCACCCACCATTCTTCCCCCAGTGAGGCCACCTGGAACCGCCAGTCCTTCCTGAGGACCTTCACTCTCCGGTGGGCCTTGGTGACGTCCGCCTTGAGCAGCACCCACCTGGTGCCCGGCTCCGGCCATTGCCAGCCCTCGGGTGGAGGTTTAGCGACCTCCCTCTCGGGGCCGGGGGCACCCTGAGAGGGAGGTCCCTCCTCAGCTGCCGCATGTAGCCAATGAAGAGCTTGTACCCCATCCAGCACCGTCGGAGCCGTCGTCCTTTCCACCGTCTGGTTCCTGATGGTGTCATTGGCCCCGCCCACCGAGCCATCGTAGATGGTGCGGATCTTGTCCCCTTCGTCGATGCCCGCTAAGGGGGCCTGGGCAAAGAGCGCTGCTGCCTCTACCTTGGTGAGAGGGCCATCTACCATGCCCATGGGGCCCTCCTCCAGGAATGTGCTACGGATGAGCTCACTGAAGTGATCCGCTGAGGGGTAGTTACCCCGGCCCTGAAATGAGGTTCCTGGAACTCCGGCTCCTCCCCTTTTAGCTCCTTCTTGAGTGGCCAGATGCCCGGCGAGACTAGGGGTGGGTCCGTGACCCCTGAATGTTCATCGCCAGGCTGTGCAAGATGTCCAGGAAGAAGGGTTGGCCTTCCGCTGGTCGGCCTGCCCCTGGCGCCAGGATCTCCCTGATATCTTCCAGCAGGTCCTCCGGGAAGGGGTGTGACCCGTCCCCCAACGAGAGCGACTCCTGGAGTTTGTCCCCCCATGGCGACGTGAGGACACAGATCTTGGCCCCCAGCGCTGCTGCTTGGGACAATGGCCGAGTCCACGGGGCCAGCCGTCCAAGTGAGGGCTTCCCACCCCCGTCCCTGAGGGGGCGCTGTTTGAAGGCCATCTGGAGGTACATAACCTTGTCGGAGAGATTTGGGTCGTGCGTGATCGGCAGGGTGGTGGGCCGATCCGAGATCTCCATGCAATGGCGTGCCCATGGCTGAAGGGGAAGAGTTTCACCCCGTAGTTCGACCTCCCTGCCCGCCGGCTGTGTTGGTGTCCGGACCTCAGGATTGTCTGAGGCCGAGACCGGACGTGAGCCCAAGGTTAGTCCCGCCAACGCTTGTTGGCCGGCCTTCAGCCTCAGGGACTGGCGCTTGTTGTCCCCCGGCGTGTGGGGAGATGGTTCCCTCTGCCGCCTCGGGGGGGTCGTTGGGTTCACTTGGGGCACCGTGCCCCCCGGCCTCAGCGCCTCCAGGACGGGTCCCGCTCTGCAGAGGATGGCCGCTGCGAGACCCTGCATCATCTGCTCTGGGTACCGGCTGAGGTCACTGGAGTTGAGCTTTTCCCCCCTGGGGTGAGCTCCGTGGTTGCATCGCAGATCATGCCAATGGTGAAGGGGAAGGTCCGTTGACAATGTCGTGGACTTCACTACCACCTGGCCCAGGCGGCACTCGTCAAACTTGATGAGGGAGTGGTGGAGTGCGTTCGCCCATTGAATATAGGCCCGTGTGACCCAGATCGATGAGCACCTCGCTGCGCTCGGGCTCTTGCTGCACTCCATTGGGTCCATCGGGTGCTCCAGGAAGGAGGAGCCCACCTGCGGGACCGTTCGTTGACCTAGTCCTTGGTAGGCCAGCGAGGTCAGGTACATCTGTCGGAGCATGAGCACGCTGTCGTTGTCCGTGTCCTCCCTTACCCGGGGCTCCAGGTCCTCCAAGCCCCACAGGGTCTGCTCCGCCCTGCCCCTCACCGGCGGCGGGCCTCCCGGTTTGGGGAACCATCTGAGAATGCTCCACGTTCTGCAGTTGGGGCCGCCCCCCACAAAGGCGACCTTGCCCGCCATGGCCATGGAGCACATTGTAGAGTATGGCTCGTCTCCCAGCATGTCATGTCCAAGATCGCCACCCTTTCGCCTAATGTCCACTGCCCAAATGTACTCCGAGAAGGCCGGGTTGTAGGCATGGAGGTAGGCATCCAGGGCCCCCGCGTCGTCCTTCCCAGCGTACAGCAGGATGAGGGTCGGCTTCGACGACTCCGGCACCGGTCGTGCACCTTAGTCTGGACCTCAGTCTTTCCGGGGTGTCTTGCATCCAGGGGAAGGTGGGGCTTGTCCCCTCTGGGGTTTCCGTGTGTCCTTTGTCCGACCCACTGGTCGTCTGGCCCTGGGCTTGCTGCTCCCTGACGGTTCTGCCCGCCCTTGGAACGCCCCTTGCTGGGCGGATCCCCACCTCTGGGTCTCTCTGAGGGTTCTTCCCACTGCCTCGGTGGGTGCGGGGGAAAAGGGTGCTTCCGCCCTTCTGGAGTGCCCTAGCTGGATCCACTCCCTTTCTTCGGTGGAGGGGCTTCCGGGGCCGGTGGCACCCTGGAGAGGTCCCCTCCCACCTGCGGCCGTCCTGGCCTCCCCAACTCTGTCTGCCTTCCGCTGTGGCTCTGGTGGATTGGCTCTCCCCCGCTGTGTGCGCTCTCGCACTGGTGGCCTGTGATCCCTTCGGAGACCAGGCAGCCACGGGGCCCATGGCACCCTGAGTGGCCTCCTGTCACTTGGGGAGGTGTGGGCATGCCTGTGGCACATGCTTCGCTGGGGGGGCATCACACACCCACCCATCCTTCCTGACCGGATGATCCAGGGCATTTGTTGTGAAGGTGATGATCCCTGCAGTACGCCACCCCTTTGGGATTCTTGAAAGCCCAGTGGTCTGGCCATGGGGTCGAGGAGGTGTTGGGGGACTTCCCTTTGCCGCCCTTGCCCTTCGGCTTGGAATCGGTAGGCCCCGAGGACCAAGATCCTTTTCCCCCCTTCTTGGGCTTCTCCCACTGAGTCTGCCACACCTTGGGTGCCTTGCTCTTGCTCTTCCCCTTCGTCGGCGCCCTGTTGAGGTGCTCATAGACCTCCCGTTGCCAGAAGAGGAAGTCGCCCCTGATGTTCTTGAGGGCTTCGGAGAGAGTGGTGCCCTGGTGCACCATCTCGTGAATCTTGCGCCATGCATTGCGCTCTGCAAACAGCAAGGTGGTGTCGCTCGGGGGAGGTTTCCTGCCGGCTATGTCCTCCCCATAGAACCAGGCATACCAGTCATCCAACTCCTCCTTGGTGACCCTCAGGTTGCCAAATTGCGGCAGTGCTGCCGTGCACATCAGGAGCGTCGTCCTGAAGGTTAGGTGCAACCGTTGCCGAGATGTAGGGTGGCTCCTCACCTCTTCTTCATCCTCCCTGTCCCAGCCGTCCACCGTGATCTTCTTGTGGGTGGATGAAGGGCGTTCCCCCACGATGTGTTTTGCCGGGATGTAGCCCAATTCGCCCTTGGCAATCATGCGCCATTGCTTCTTGAGGTAGCCATCACTACCCTGGAATTCCAACCTCGGCTTCGGGGCCCCATGCGTGGCCACGTAAGCATCTTCCAGCTGGCGCCTGTCACACAGGACTTCTAAGGGAGCCTTTATCGGGCCCGCATGGCCCGCCGGGTGGTCACCCTGGTTGCCCCCCCTGACCAAGTTTGCTGCCACCCGTACTGCCTGAAGGAGGCGCATTGCCGTGAAGGCCGAGGTCTGGGCGTTGAATCCATTCTCTCCATCCTGGA